GGAGACAGTGACTACGTCGGTGACCACCTGCCGGGATGTATTCCAAGTAGCCCGAGGTGCAGTAGGGGATGTCTTCATGGCTGGTGGAACATATGCTAGATCATTTTTTGTGTCTGTGTCTTCATCAATCAGCCTAAAAGTAGGCTGCACAGATTTTGATTTGCCCCTTTTGGAGTAGGTCACTTGCTTCGTAGGCGCCATGGTACCTGTGGATGTCTAATTAGTACCAAAATAAAATCATAACACACTTGAAAAGATTTTAGAACTAAGAACGAACAGAAACGAAAAATAGAAAAAAAACTCAGACAGTGGCTTCAATGGCCACCTACGGTGGGCATCTATGATCTGTAGGTTGACCTACAGTCCATGGATCCCTTTCGTAGATCAGAGGTACCAAAAAGTTGGTCTCTGATGGGAACCACGAATGTGCAGAACGATCCATAGATTGATCTACGGACCGTAGTCCACTTTCGTGGTTCCATACTTGGTGAAATTTTCATGTGCCACCAACCACGGACCTGATCTACGGTCCGTAGACATGGTCTCATGGATGGGATCTGTGCCAGGTTTCAGGCATCCTTCATGTTGACCCTAATTTGACCGATTTCAATAATGTCACCTAATCTAATCATGCATTTCAACAGAAATTATGCTAGTTTGTCATTCTAAGGGTTTCGATTACTAAATTCACATGAATTGCACAACAAATTAGGAACCCTAAGTCATCTTTATCACTAAAATCCTAACCATAGTGAATTTCATACATTTGGTTGTGTTTTTTTTGTACATTTGCCTCTTTGGCAGTGCAATAAACTTTCTGTACAGTCTACTAAATGTGCTTTTATGGGTTATAGTACTTCACAAAAAGGTTTTATTTGCTATGATCCATCTTCTTATAAATTTCATATTTCTAGAAATGTTGTTTTCTTTGAGAATCAGTATTTCTTTCCTACGATTGTAGATTCATCTTCTGCTTCTCCTCTTCTTCCTACTTTTGAGGATTTATCATCTTCTTTTAAGAGGTTCAAACTTGGATCTGTGTATGAACGACGTCGACCAACTTTATCCTATCCCAACACTGATCTGCCGCCTGAAACTGTACCACAACTAGAATCTGAGAATTCTTCAAGATCCGGTCCTCTTGAGCCTACTCAGCGATCTACCAGAGTATCTCGTACTCCAAATTGGTATGGATTTTCCTCTACTTTATCCAACATATATGTTCCATCTTGTTACTCACAAGCTTCCAAGCATGAATGTTTGCAGAATGCAATGGAGGGAGAACTTTTGGCTCTTAAAGAAAACGGCACATGGGACATTGTTTCATGTCCTTCAAATGTCCGCCCTATTAGATGTAAATGGGTTTATTCAATCAAACTTCATTCTGATGGAACTCTTGATCAGTACAAAGCTCAATTGGTTGTTCTTGCTAACAGACAAAAGTATGGGGTGGCCTATGAGGAGACTTTTGCACCCGTAGCCAAAATGACTATAGTGCGAACTATTATTGCCATTGCTGCTTCACAAAACTGGTCTCTTTATCAAATTGATGTCAAAAATGCTTTTCTTTAAGGTGATCTTAAAGAACATATTTATATGAAACCTCCACCTGGTTTGTTCTCATCGCCTACATCAGATGTATGCAAGTTGAAGCAGTCTTTGTATGGATTAAAACAAGCTCCAAGAGCTTGGTTTGATAAGTTCCGGTCTACTTTGCTACAATTTTCTTTTGCGCAGAGCAAATATGACTCATATTTGTTTCTTCGGAAAACCTCTACAGGTTGTGTTCTTCTTTTGGTGAATGTAGATGGCATTATTATCACAGGAAGTGATTATTCACTAATCACTTTCCTCCAACAGCAGCTTAAAGATTTTTTTCATATGAAAGATCTTGGTACTCTTACTTATTTTTTGGATTTGGGAGTTCATAATGTTGCTTCAAGTGTGCTTCTAAACCAACACAAATATACTCAGGATCTGATTTCTTTGGTTGGTCTTCAAGATTCCTCCTCTGTATATACTCCATTGGAATTGAATGTGAAGTATTGTCGTGAGGAAGACGATCTTCTTCCTGATCCAACTATATTTCGACAATTAGTTGGGAGTCTAAATTACCTTACTATTACTCGGCCTGATATCTCTTTTGCAGTTTAACTAGCTAGTCAATTTATGCAAGCTCCCCGTCATCTCCACTTGGTGGTTGTTCGTCGCATCATTCGGTATCTTGTAGGAACATCTACTCGTGGATTGTTCTTTCCAAGTGATTCTCCTATTTGTCTTAATGCTTTTAGTGATTTTGATTGGGCGGGATGTCCTGATACTCGTCGTTCAGTCTCTGGTTGGTGCATGTTTCTTGGAGAGTCATTGATATCTTGGAAGAGTAAAAAGCAAGATCGTGTATCAAAATTTTCAACATAGGTTGAATATCGATCCATGTCTACTGCTTGCTCCGAGGTTGTATGGCTTCGTGGATTACTTGCTGAGATTGGATTTCCTCAATCTCATCCTACTCCTTTCCACGCTGACAATACAAGTGTTATTCAGATTGCTACTAATTCAGTTTTTCATGAGAGGACCAAACACATCGAAGTGGATTGTCATTATATACGAGAAGTTGTAGATAAAGGAGTCATTACTCTTCCACATGTGTCCAGTGATCTTCAAATAACTGATGCGTTTACAAAATCCATGGCACGGCAACGCCATCAGTTTCTAGTAGGCAAATTGATGCTTCTTGATCCACCAGCATCAATTTGAGGGGGGATGTTAGCATGATGGACAACTAAATGATTGTATATATTAATGTAATTATATTGTGAGATAAATTAGCATGATCATATACATTTGTTGTAGAATCAAAGGAATTAATATTGTGATAGAATAGCTGATTTGGAGGGATAGCAAGGGAGATTTAGAGGGATTGAATAGCAGATTTGAAGAGATAGAATAGTTGATCTTTAGGGATAGGAATGGTGGATCTTTAGGGATGTGTAATTTTTATTCTCTACATAATGGAAAGACTCTCTCACTTTGACAGGCATTCAGCAGAAAATTGACAAATCTATTAAAATACTCGTCATATATATCAGAGATCACAAACCAAATGGGGTATATATGATGACAACCTGATGCCTGAAATTATATGTAAATTCCAACTTATTTTGACTGACCCTAAAGCATAGGAAATTACCAATTGTAAAAATAATAATCACGTTTTACAATGTGATCAACAACATTTCTTCCTTTATTAACATATGAACCCTTCCCCTTAACCACCCTCTCATTACCTTATAATGTTATTCCCTCCGGTTGTGCACTATGCAGGGATTTAGTCAACTAAAACTGTCTTTTGAAAAATGTATTTGTAATTTCTGGGGTAACGGTGTATCCGACCTACATAGCTCTACCTTACCTGAGGCAAACCAGAGGCCGAGTCATCGTGAATGCATCAGTGGAGACCTGGTTACCGTTGCTACGAATGAGCTTATACTCTGTAAGTATTGAACACCATATAGACCTTTAAATTGCATTTGTTCTGCCTTCTGATTTAACATTCTTGAGACTCTTCCTTTTGTCAATGTTCATAGTACACCTTAAGAAGAAATAATTTTGGTCGTATGCTTCTTTTCAGTTGCTTTCTTTTTCCTTTTTGGCTTGAACAGGCAGCAAAAGCCATAGTTATAAACTTTTACGAGACCCTGAGGTTAGAGATGAAGGATGATGTTGGGATCACGATACCAACACACAGATGGATAGGGCCTGAAATAACAAGGGGAAAATTCATGATGGATTGGAGGAAGGTGTAGATATGCAATGGAAAGAAGAAACGGAAGTAAGACTCTCTTCTCGTTGTGGAATTGATATTATCTGACTCTTCCAACACACTGCTACTTCATAGATGAACACGTTTGAATTTGTTTAGGCAGAAAACAGTCATTCTTTCATTTAATAGTTTACCCAAGAGTTGCTCAATAAATCAGTTGATTGGAATTTTGAGGAAAATTTCCTTTCTAAGCAGCATGAAACACACGTCGTAGGTGTTTCAATGTGTAAAGCTTACATGAATTTATTTTCCGAGCAGGATGGAACACACGGCATAGATGCTACACATGTTTTCCATTTCAAAGCAGTTGTTACCTTTTACCAGTTTTAATTTCTATATCTAGCAACTGATACAATTACAAGGTTATTGGAATAAGCTACATAGCGCTGTAAATTTTATAGTTACGGGTTAATTTTTTGCAGAGTTAAGATTGTTCGAAGATGTGAAATTATTACTACTATATAATTTCCTTGTCATTTATTAGGATCTCAACTTCAGTTCATTTAAATATGTATTACTAATTTTTTTGGTAACTTGTGGGTAATATATTATGACCATCACATTACAATGTTTGTTTATGACTTCTGGGTTAAGGCTCCGGCATCCGGAAGTTCAGAGGAAGGGTTTTCCAAGTTGATTGTGCGGGGGGAATGTCGTGGAGATCCGTACATGAAATATCCGGGCTGGTATGACATTTCCCTTCTTTATATGTTGAAGAATGTTTCTTTACACAATGATATTTTCTATTCTCGAGCTTAGCTTTTGTGTCGTTGTTACTGCTTTTGCTACTACTTTTTTTCCCTTTAGATGAAGCAGAGCACAGCAAGAGCAGCTTGATAACTGATGTAGTTTTGATTAAGCCTAGTAAAGATTAAAGAAGCTCTTTCGGACAGGGGCAGAGTGGGGGGTGCAAGGAGGCTCCTCTGTGTAAGGGAGTATCTATTGCAATGGTTATAGGTTTACGTTCATCCAGTAGCTTTATATTTGCGTTCATTATGTGTATAAGAATTGCTAGGTCATTGAAATAAATTTGTGTAATAAAGTTTTGTGTCAAAACTCAATCCGTCCAATTACTGAACATCATCAAAATTCATGAAATCGAACCAAACTTGAGTACATGTACAAGCAAAAAAGGTATTAAAAATTGATCGAGTAAAGTTGTGCTGTGCTTCACACATCAATATTGATAATCTTCAATAGAAATGTTGAGATCTTGATTTTGCCGATAATTATCAACAGTTTGACGATGTTGTTGATCAGCAGGTGTTGGTGTTGTAAGAAACTGAGCATCAATAGCCATGGCAGCATCAGAGGCAACTTTTTGTACAGATGTTGGTGACATTCCAGGTTGAACATTAGGCGGTAACATGGAAGGGAAGTTTAATTTATGTAAAGACGATGATTCTGGACGGAGACAATAATAGGCTATGTCATGTGCTATAGCTGCAGCTTCAGGGCTAGTGTAAGTACCTAGCCAAAGCCGTTCACTACTACCTGGAACTCGAATTTCCGACACCCATTTCCCCCATTTTCTCCTCCGAATCCCTCTGTATTTTGCACCTGAACTCATCTTTCTTCCTAATTACTCTTATGCTTGCTGACTGTTGTGTTGCCTTTGACAAAAATAAATAAAAATAGTGTTGGTTATTTATAGGTTGAAGATTGTGCAAGTCAACCCCTTAGGCCTCATGCATGTGGAGTGTGTGGACATAGAATACCCACTCAGGTCAATGGTCAAATTAAAATAGGTTGAAGCACTATGGACTAGCTTTTGATCCATTCAAGGGGGGCTAAATTGCTACAAAGAGGCGCAAAAATATCTTCATGATATGATTGAAATTTGATGCCTTGACAATTATTTGATGTATCATTTAAAACATGCAATACTATTCGGTTTATGGGTGCTTTTATAATAATGAATGGATTTTTAAATTATTACGAATTAACATCAAGTTATTTGATGTATTACTCCCTCCGTCCTTATTTATTTGTCAAATATTTTTAATTTAATTTTTTTTTAATTGTTATTTCTGACAAATCAAGTATAGACAATTTTTTTTTTATTATACCTTCAATATATTAATATTAAGTTAATGTCTTTGAAAATGTAATGAATAAATATGTTTGAGACTCTTTCATTAGTATGATTAAAATGGTAAATTTACTTTATTAATTATTTTTTTCTTAATAGGTGTGTCAAGTCAAAATTTGATACGCAAATAATGACGGAAGTGTATCATTTAAAGCATGTCTTCCTATTAATTAAATCGGATATTTCATTTTTTCAATTTATGTTGCTTTTACATTATTTTTGTAGAAGTATTATTTTGGAGTTTAAGAGTTGACCAATCTTATAATTTGGAAATTCTATTTCTGATGTTCATTTAGCTATTCGCCACAATTTTAAAAAATAAAATAATCTTAAGGACAAAATATGGAATATTGTAGCTTGTTATCTTCTAGAGTTGAAGTCTTATTCGTGAGTCAATTGTATAAATTCAAGTATGGAAAAGGCATCATCCCTGACGTCATGAATTAATTAGTGGACCAGAGTCATAATTAATTAGGTGATAGAGTCCAATTAAGAGTTTGTTTCACAATAGAGCTAATAATTATTCCCTCCGTTTCACAAAGAATAGTCTAGTTTGACTTGACACATAGTTTAAGAAAATAAAAAAGACCTTTGAATCTTATGATCCTAAATTAAAGTTATGTCAAATGTACAAAACCGCCCTTTAATCTTGTGGCCTTAAACATGTCACGTGGAAAACTGAAATTAAAATGTTACAAAAAAAAAAAGAGGTCGTTCTTTTAGAAACAAACTAAAGAGAAAAGGAGGTCATTTCTTTTTTAAACGGAGGGAGTACTTATTTTTAAAAGTGTTTTTTTTAAATAACTTTTTAGAAAAATGTTTTTTTTCTAAAAAATAATTTGTGTTTGACAAATTCGTTTGAAAAATGTTTTTGATAAGCTATTTGTGTTTCGTTATTTAAAAAAGAAGAAGGTGTTTTTCAAAGTCAATTATGAAAAAGGGCAAGCATCAATTTGCTTTTAATATTAAGATTATTTTATATAGAAAAATATAAAATAAAAAATTTATTAAATAAAAATAAAAAATAAAATTATTGAAGGAAAATTAATCAAACTTATGAGATATGCTAATTAATTAATAAGTGATATATTGATAATTATATATGTATATATTTAAGGTATATTTAGTCTTAAAAATAATTTTTTACTTCTACTTTTTTTAAATTAGAAATTTTTAGTTTCTTTCCAACAACAGAAAAAATGTTTCTTCTTTCATTTAAAAGCAGTTTTAAGAATTTGAAAAACACTTAATTATTCAAAATTAATGTTTTTTTCTCATAAAAGCACTTCTTGCCTCCCAACAGTAAATACCAAACAGACTCTAAGAGTAAGATTTTTTACACCTCCAAGTAATATAATTTAATTTATATAAATTAGTCTAATTCAATTTAATTTATATAATTTGATACTCTTTCAATCCATTTTTATTTATTTTAGCATGCGTTTGGCCGGTGAAACGTCGTTTGGGATGTCTTCCTTAGCCAATATGTTTAAGTGAATTTAAGCTTCAAATCCTTCAAACTTTCTTTTCAAGAAATGTTTGCACATAAGAGAACTGACCCCTAAAATCCTCTCAATTAGCATTAAAACATAACAATAATTCATGAGTATGTCTGTATGAGTCTGATAACTTATCAATATGCAAGGCATAAATAAAACATATAATCAGCTGAAATAGAAAATAAATGTAAGAATCAATCGGAATGCCACATCAAACGAGTTATTTGTGACTCTAGAGACGTAGGAGGTCTCGTACGCATACATAATAATATATATATCTGCCTAACTGATTATAACGTAGCGGTATATATATATATATAACCTGTAAAAATGTCATATAAGAACTGCCTAACTAATTATAGTTCGATGGTGTATATAACTCATATGAATGTCGTATAATTCCTTCCTTTTCAATATAGATAAGTGGTGTGTATAGCTCTTATGAGTGTTATAGAAGGTCTATCCAACCCGTCGTGCTCATACTATCATATATATGCAACATAAGGCTTACCCAACCGCCTATAGGTTGGTGGTATGCATATTCTTATGTTTTTATATATGTGTTGAGTTAAGCATACACACATTGAAAAGTCCAACTCTACAAATTAAATATGGTGCACAACACATTTATAAACAAGACTCTACTAGACATGACTTGCAAATTTCGCAGAATATGACATTGCTTTAATACCAAGCTTGTCAAAACTCAACTTAAGGATGCAATGTGCACTTAACGTCATACTTGACCCTGAGCTAACCTTGCTGGACAACTATGCTACTAACTTTATACTAATCACAAAATTAATAAAGTAAACAAATACATCTTGGCTTAAAAATAAGCCCTCAACCGACAAGATCCCTGCCAACATAACATGTAGGAAATTCATTCAATTCCAACAATTAATATAAAATAGAAACTAAATTTAGTGTGGGCCTTTGAGGCCACCATGCTAACGATAATAAATTAACTCTATGCGGTCCGTCGAGACCACCATGAGATCTAGAAATAATATAAGTTGAGCACATATATTCATAGATGACCAAGGCCAAATAGCTACTATGTTAAAAGGAAAAAACAACAAGGCCAACAAAGCCGACAACACACATTTATATCACCCAAAGTCTGCAAGCCTCTTAGAGTAATATACTTCATTGAGTTCCCCATCGATTGTATATAACAAAAGACTAACAAAACTTTTGAATTTAACTACTCCGGAAGAAGTGGAGCTGACCAATATGTTAGCTTAGATACACTATTGAGGAGACATGTATACTTGTCTGTTGAGACCTACATGCAAGAACGTAGCACTCCCAAGCAATAGCGTTAGTACAAAATAATATACCAAGTATGAAAGATAGTAGAATAACGGACATACCTAGAATATATTGAAAAGAATAAACTGAGCATACTAACTTTCTACTAAATGTAGCATTCAAGCAACAACCTACACGGGCTTCAATAAGCTCGATAAGTATAAACAATACAACCTATCTGGGCCTCCATAAGATTGACATATATAATTCAATCTATATATCCTTATTGGTTATATTCTAGCCCCGTATGCAAATATTACATCTCACTAGCCTCCCACACTCTGGGTATAGCTCCGAAGGCAATCGTTATGATCTAATAGCCCCTTCAGCATCATGTATATAGCCCCTTAGGCATTCTGCGTATCCCAATATCCCCTTAGGCAATATGTATTTAGCCGAAAAGGCAATTACTATCTTCCAATAGCCCCTTTGGCATCGATTTAACCCCATAAGCGATAGGTATAACCCATAGAGATATGCATGACTCATTACACTGCAACAAAAATAACTTTTAGCGCTATTAAATATTGACATTAATAAAGAGTGCTAAAGTTTTTACCGGCATTAGTTAAGTGTCATTAGAACCAATAATTGCTAAAGGCTTTAGCGACATATACAAAGAGTGTTAATTGCCTCTAAAAATATATATTTAAAGACAATTAAGAATTAACTGCCGCTAATGATTATTTTTGATGTAGTGTTATCTTCTTTAGGCAATCTGCATATAGCCCCAGACACAAGTCAAATCCCTACATCTAACTACAATAGCCACGAGGGCAATACCAAACAATCAAATAGCCCAAAGTCAAGCAATGAGGGATGTTTATATTAACTACAAAAGCTGTCATAATCGAATAATACTACGAGTAATATAATTTGGCTACAACAACTAGCCATATCTTTACTAAGATTTAAAAATACTTGTCGAAAGAAGGAAATAGTCTTAACATACCCTTTTTATGTTGATGAGTCAATGTTTATTATTTACAAAAAAATTTACCACTAAGAACAAAATTAAAAAAAAAAATCAATTTTTTCTTGATTTTGTTAAATAACAACTATTTTAAAATAAGAATAACAAGTAAAATAATCGAGACAAAGTACTTCCTCCTTCCAACAATAGTTGTCCACTATACTATTTTGGGATGTCCAATAATATTTGTCCACTTTATGAAATTAATAGATAACTTCACATTTAGTTCTTAATTTACTCTTATAATTAATTATAGGCATTTTCCTATTACATTTTTCAAGACATTGTGTTTATTATATGCAAAGGGTGATATAATAAAATTATCCTTTTACTTATAATTTCTTAGGAAATATACAAACTCAATAGTAGACAAGTATTATTAGATAGAGATAGTAATAAATTGAAAAGGTTGACAATGTCCACGGTCAAAGCTGAAGTAGGATTCAAAAGCAGTGAGCATTTCCTAATTAATTAGGGAGAAAGGGAACAACAATTTCAAACAACTTGTACATGTGAGGAAATTTGTGGCACGTAAATTTATTGCAACACCAACTACTAAATAAAAAATGGAAAAATCCTTTTGGCCAGAATTTAATCAAAACATTTGGCTAGAATTTAGTCAAAAAAATTGGCCAGAATTTAATCAGAATAGTATTTTACTAATGTTATTTTACTTTTTTGAAAATATTTACATTTTTAACTTTAATACATTTTAA